TATCTGGGGCTGGAGAGATGGCTCAGTGGTTAAGAGCACTGACTGCTCTTCCAGAAGTCCTAGAGTTCAATCTCCAGCAACCACATGGTGGCTCACAACCATCTGTAATGGGATCCGACGCACTCTTCTAGTGTCTGAAGACAGCTGCAGTGTACTCATATAAATAAAAATATATAAATCTTTAAAAAATAAAATAAAACACAGCTTGTAAAGAAAACAGTATCTGAGAGCGGGTCAGGAGCTTGCTGCCAAGCCTGAGGACCTGAGTTTGAGCTCACAAGGTAGGAAAGAAGCAACTCCTCTGAATTTCACACAAGAATGTACGAATGCGCTCGTTCTCTCTCGTTCTCTCTCTCTCTCTCTCTCTCTCTCTCTCTCTCTCTCTCTCTCTCTCTCTCTCCCCCCTAATATGATAAAATGTGTCTGAAAGCTATCAAGTTCAAATCAACCATTTATTCCAGTTTATCCCGAGGCTTCCAGGACATGGAACTGGTGTATCTTGCAAACCAAGCAGAAGTGGTCCACGAGTCGAGTTCACTACATGCAGTATTGAGGTAGCAGTCACATTACAACTGGTCTGACAGCACATGCTCCCCAACACAGTCCTATGGGAGAGCAGACTCACCAAGCTTGAGCTGGGTGGAGGTGAGCCCCAGCAAGCACAGTGTTACATGATAACAGCACTCTCAGCTCACACCAACCACAGGCCTCAGAGGACTCCTTTGTGGGTGGTCTACATTTTACTGACTTTAAAAATATATATAACAGATGTACTAAAGATACTGTTACACTCAACTAACCTACAAAGTCTTTAAGGCCTATCTGCTTCTTAGTTAAACCCCATCACAGAACACAGCTGGGCTACATATCTACATACGAAAAAAAGCATCCTGAAATTCTAATACTGAAACCATGACTGTCACAGGCCACAAGTATTTTTTTGCTTAGTATATGTTTTTATTACAAAGTCTTTTTGGGATTCTGGAGAGATGGCTCAGCGGTTAAGAGCACTCACTGCTCTTCTGAAGTTCCTGAGTTCAATTCCCAGGACCCACACGGCAGCTCACAAGTGTCTGATACCATCTTAGAGTATGCAGATATACATGCAACCAAAATACACATACACAGAAAATAAATTAATTAATTTAAAAAAGTTTTTTTAGTCTTTTTAAAATTATTTACTGGAATATAAAAATCTTTGTACATTTTTTTTTACAGAAATAACCAAAACTATTGAAAGCAAGCTAAGTCTCTACTTGAGGGAATTTTTTTTAAAAAAAAAGACTTTAATGCCTAGTTGGACATCAGATAGGAAATAGTTTTAGTTAAAGGAAGACCTCGCCCTGTAACATTTTATAAACACAACTTGAAACTGTCAGAAACCTATTTCCGAAATCTGTTCCACAGTAAATCCAATCCATGACAGGAAGGGTGCAGCTCTCTGGGGCAGAGCTTGTTTGCTTATGGTCCCTAGGTGGAAATGCATCAATAACCTGCAGATCTGATAGCTACAGGCCACACAGGGAGACTCTACTGCTGTTTTTGTTGTGTTTGGACCTGATCAAAATAGGAAGCAGGTCAGTGTAAGGGTGGAGTTCACACATACTGCAGACAGTGAAGTCTGTCAGTAGAAGGAAAACATCACCCAGCATGGTTTCATAGTCCTTTATTACAGAGGCCAGTATTAACAACCAAACTTTACACAGGACTTCTAGAAATGAGAGAGGGAGGGAGAGAAAGAGGGAGTGGGAGAAGAAGAGGGAGAAGGAGAGGGAGAGGGAGAGAGAGAGTATCATAAACTAGACAAAATTTCAGTTATTAAGTATACTTTCATATCAAACATAAAGATTTTCAGTTGAATACAAAAGATACCTTGGCAAAGCAAACTTGTTCTATTGAAAACAGCTTGCCGGGGCTGGGGAGGTAGCTGAGCTCGTGGAGGGGCCTGCCAAGCGTTCAAAATTGACAGCGCTATAACAAGTAATCGAACAAAGTAGTCTGTCAGGCTATGAAAGTCTTCTAAGTTAAGGCAAGATAAGGTGCACTTAGCACATGCATTCCAAGTCTGGAAGATAGCTGGGGGTGGAGGCAGGGGGATGGAGGCATGTGGGAAGCAGTTCTTAGCCTCCAATGTTCCTTCATTACCCAACAAGACTATTTCCTCTGCAGTTGCATCATCATCTCCTGTAATGTCCTTTAACCAAACGCATTTGCCTAAGACCCTTTCTCTCCTGCGTCAGGAGGGTCATATCCTCAAGACAGAGGTAATATGCTTCATACCTTTAGGGACGTACCAGCAATCTGTCAGAGATCACATTATTTTTGTCTGTTTGCTTTCTTATAAGTCTAAGGACTGAACCCAGGGTCTCACCTGTATTAGACAAACACTCTAATTACCTCTAGCTTAGTATAGATACTAATAATACACAGGCCAAAGAAGTCTCAAGGGAAATCCTAAACCATTATGAATTAAATAAAAATAAAATGACAAAATTTGCAACAGGCGACAAAACTGTATTTATAGAAAAATGAAACAATTGAATATTATTAGAAGACACAAAATTAGTAGTTTGTGACACTAGGAAAAAAAAGAGATAAAATTCAAAGTAACTAGAAAAAAAAAAAGAAAATGTTACAACAGAAAACTAAACTTAAAGACAGGAAATAAGGGGTAGGGGGAATGGCTCAGAAAGTAAGGCCTTGCTGTGTAAGCAGAAGGTTTGAATTCCACTCCAAATAGCTGAGAACACTCCCCAGCAGTGAGGATCCATCCCTGAGGCTGGCAGACCAGCCCAACCCTCACTCAAACACTTGAGCAGAGGCTGGGAGATGGCTGTGAGCTTCCTGGCCTTCGTAATCATATGCACATAGTCCACTACACGCATCACAAATGATACAAACATGTATTTATTTATAAAATGGAGAGTGACTGAGGAAGACACCCAGCCCCGAGCTCTGGCTTCCATATTTATGTACACACATAAAATAAATAAGGAGGAGAATCAGTGCAAACAAACACTCTGAGGTTCTAATGTTGAGACAGGGTCTCATTTTAGCACAGGCTAATCTCTGAGCCTGACTATACAGTACAGAATGACCTTGAACTGATCCTCCTGCCTCCAGCCCTGGAGTGCACAGGCATGTAATTACCTGTAATTACCACCGTGTCCTGTTTGTGTGGCGCTGAACATGGAACCCAGGCTGCAAGCATGCTAAGCAGGCACTCTAACAAGTAAACTACATCCCCCAAACCTGGCTCTTTGAAAGGAAAGCAAAACTGCTAAGTCTATCATCAAACTAACCAACTTTGGGAAAAGGAGAGAAGACAGAAATTACTTTACTTCAAGGACATTCACCAGCAAATCAAGGGAGATTATAAACTCTCTTTACTAATTAGATGAAACGGGCCATTTCCCTGAAAGACATAATTTGTTAGAACTCTTAAAAAGAGCCAGTTAATAGCTGAACAAGTCTATATTCGCCTCACAACACTCATTCATAGAGCAGACAGTAC